TTTTTTTTTCTTTCAAAATTAGGGGTCTTGATTCACACGGGGAAAATCCAGAAACTCCCTCATTGTTTCTGGTGTAAAGTCTCAACCTTTTTGTCTTAATGTGGGAGAATTTTGACTATTATGGTGTGATTGATTCTCTGTTTTTTTTCTTCAACTTCCTCTATTTATTCTTCTGGGTTTTTTTGTCTGTTCTTCAAACAATTTGGGCTTAATTTTTTTTTAAAAAGAGGGACGTGTTGAGCTGTTACCACACTCTCTCTTGTTTTCCCCATCTTTTTCAGCTCATTACGTCTTTTAAAGTTTCCTCTCTATGATTTCTGTCTTTTGGTTGCAAGCTGTAATTCGACTGAAACCTAATCTGTCGCATTGTGCGTTTAGTTCAAATTAACACTCCGGATACACACCGATTCATCTCCCCCTCTCGGGAATAGTTCTTCTCTTTACCTCCTTCTTCTTCTTCTCCACCACTATTAACACGCGTCTGCTTCATCTTCCTCCCTTTGGTGTTCTTGGTGGCAATGGTATTCGATTTGTAGCCATTTCCCCCTTTTTCCTTTCTGGGTTTTCTTCTCCGTCTCCTGATTCCATCTGGGTTCTCGTCTTTTTTCTCTCTTTCTCTGCATTTTGGTCGTAATTTATCTGTTTCGGTCCGGTGAAGCAAAAAATGGCTCCTCCGTTTGAATGGTGGGCTAAAGAGAATCGGAAAGGCACTCCGGTTGTGGTGAAGATGGAGAATCCGAACAATTGGTCCATGGTGGAGCTTGAATCTCCGTCGGAGGGAGATTTCCTAATCGGCGGTCATGCTTCTCCGGTCGGAATCCGGGACAAAGCCCGGAACAAGAACGCTCGACAGCTCACCTGGGTCCTCCTCCTCAAAGCCCACCGAGCCGCAGGTTGTCTCACCTCTCTCGGCTCCGCATTGATCGCCCTCGGCTCTGCCGTCCGCCGCCGCGTCGCCGCCGGACGCACCGACACCGAGCCCGATGACGCTGACCAAGACGTCTCCTCATCCTCGTCATTGTCGCCGTCACCGGAGGCAGAAAACCCGGCAGTGAAATCGAGATTCTACTCGTGCATCAAGGTGTTCTTGTGGATGTCTATGCTTCTCCTTGCCTTCGAAGTCGCAGCTTACTTCAAGGGTTGGCATTTCGGAGCTCCGAATCTGCAGCTTCAGTACATCTTCACGATTTCACCGCTCGGATTCAAAGGGTTCTTCGATTGGGTCTACACGCGTTGGGTCCTGCTCCGCGTGGAGTATCTCGCTCCTCCGCTTCAGTTCCTCACCAATGTCTGCATCGTCCTGTTCCTCATCCAGAGCGTGGACAGGCTCGTCCTCTGTCTCGGCTGTTTCTGGATCCGCTTCAAGAAGATCAAACCCGTCCCCAAATCAGGCGCCGTCTCTGATCTCGAATCCGGCGAGAACGGGTTCTTCCCCATGGTCCTTGTCCAGATCCCTATGTGCAACGAGAAAGAGGTAAACTTTCGTCGATCCCACGACCGGAATCTGCCAAAAGCATCGAAATTTACAGAATCTAGTTTCTGGGTTTTGCTTTTTTGGTAGGTTTATCAGCAATCGATCGCGGCTGTGTGTAGCTTGGACTGGCCAAAATCAAAGCTTTTGATTCAGATTCTGGATGATTCGGACGATCCCGTGACCCAGACCTTGATCAAAGAGGAGGTCCAAAAATGGCAGGACGAAGGTACTCGGATCGTGTATCGACACCGTGAGATCAGAGAAGGCTACAAAGCTGGCAATCTCAAGTCTGCTATGAACTGTAGTTACGTTAAAGATTATGAATTCGTCGCCATTTTCGACGCCGATTTCCAGCCCACACCCGATTTTCTCAAACGAACAATCCCTCATTTCAAGGTAAATCGCTGAATTTGGCCCAGACTTTGGATCCTGATGATGAGAAATTTCTTTCCATTTATATCCATTGAGGATACTTGTGCTGTATATGCTAATTTATGGATTTTGTGCAGGATAATGAGGAACTCGGGCTGGTTCAGGCGAGGTGGTCGTTTGTGAACAAGGACGAGAACTTGTTGACGAGACTACAGAACATAAACTTGGCCTTTCACTTCGAGGTTGAACAGCAAGTGAACGGTGTGTTTTTGAGTTTCTTTGGGTTCAATGGAACAGCCGGTGTCTGGAGGATCAAGGCCTTGGAAGATTCCGGCGGCTGGTTGGAAAGAACCACCGTTGAGGACATGGACATTGCTGTCCGTGCTCACCTCCATGGCTGGAAATTCGTTTTTCTCAACGACGTCGAGGTATTGTATTATCCCGAGATCCTAAACCCTAATACTACTGCACAGTTACGGTTTACGTGATTCTCTCGGCTAATCCAAATCTTTTTTCGACGTGTTTGTGCGGTATATCAGTGCCAATGTGAATTACCGGAATCATATGAAGCTTATAGGAAACAGCAACATAGATGGCACTCGGGTCCCATGCAATTGTTTCGCCTTTGTTTACCCGCTGTAATCAAATCGAAGGTATGGCTAAATGTTTGATCATTCTGTAGGATTCAATGAGGGTTTTATAAAACCGAGCTTGCCAATGCGGGGTTCTGTTTTTGCAGATAAGCATATGGAAGAAATTCAATATGATCTTCCTCTTCTTCCTCCTCAGGAAGCTAATATTACCTTTCTACTCCTTCACCCTCTTCTGCATAATCTTGCCGATGACAATGTTTGTCCCAGAGGCCGAGCTCCCTGCTTGGGTTGTCTGCTACATTCCCGCCATGATGTCGTTCCTGAACATCCTCCCCGCCCCGAAATCGTTCCCGTTCATCGTCCCGTACCTCCTCTTTGAGAACACAATGTCGGTGACCAAATTCAACGCCATGGTCTCGGGTCTGTTCCAGCTCGGAAGTGCGTATGAGTGGGTTGTTACGAAGAAATCCGGGCGTTCCTCAGAGGGTGATCTCATGGGTTTAGTCGAGAAGGAGTCGAAGGAGCGGCCTCGACATCAAAGGGGGGCATCTGTACCCGAAACGAAGGTGGAAATCGAGGAGAAGAAAGCGGATATTATGAAGAAGAAGAAGAATAAGAAGAAGCACAATAGGATATACATGAAGGAGCTTTCATTGGCATTCCTTCTACTGACGGCGTCGGCTCGAAGCCTATTGTCCGCGCAAGGAATCCATTTCTACTTCTTGTTGTTTCAGGGCATCTCGTTCCTGCTCGTGGGCCTCGATCTGATCGGCGAGCAGATCGAGTGATCGCGTAAATCGGGTTTAGGGTTTTCGTAGGAAAGAGTATATATACAGTCGGGAGGGCATTGTAGAAGAAACGGAATAAACCAGAAGGGTGGAGCGACAGAGAATTATCCACCCCGACACAAAGGTCTGTACTGTATCACGACAACATCATCCGAAAAAGAAAAAAAACCATTGTAGAGACAGAAGTAAAATGGCGGTTGCTGTGTTTGGGTGTGTTGATAAGGTAAATCTCTTTTTCTTTTTCTTTTTCTGGATCTGGTTTTGTTTGTTCTTCTTGATTTCGGATTGGCCTCACATTCTGATTCTTTGGTTGTCTGGGGGCGAATTCTTTTGTAAGAAAGATTTTTTTTTCTCGATTCAACAGCAATTTTTTTTTTTTTATAGTGATATTGATCATGTTTGGTTTATTACAGTTCCGGTTTGATTATTCGGTTTTAGAAAAAAAAAATACAAGTTATTAGTTTTTATACTGAATCAGTTTCGGTTTTACGCAGATAAAAATACTCTTTTTTCTCAAAAAAAATTGGTTTTTTGATTCGCTTCGATTACAAATATACGTTATTCGGGTTGAAATCGGGTGCGGGGATTCACATAAAGAGTTTCCAATGGATCTTAATAAAGAACATAATAACATTGACATTTGATGAAACTGTTGCTTGTGGACAAAGATAAAAGCACGTATGTGTATGTATATATATATGTATGTGCGTATGTAACACGCTCAATGGTTAAATTGGGGAGAAATTGACACTTGAATCCATGAGCTTACCACACCATTGTTACCATACCACATTTTTTTTTTTTTTGAAGTATGGATGAATCTCTTCAGGCTTCCGTAGATAAAACTGATCTCCTTTACGACCTTTCAAACGCCATGGTTACGGACCGATGCCCTAGAATTGAAATTTTCAAGGCCAGTCAAGGGCGATCAGATGCCAAAACAAGCGGCTGGTGTGATCATTTCGATCGAGATAGTGTTCGCTCATTTCAATCTATGGTCATTTTTATATTTGGGTCAAGGTGCTGTAGTTTTTTTTTATATATAGTTTGAAAGTTAACCATACTTTTGGCCCGACTATATCTATTAAAAGATCAGAAAAGTTTATGTGGATATTTTTCCTCAAATAAGGATTCGAATCCGGATTGGAATGGACACATGGAGCTTTGTTCCCTTTCTTATAAGTTGAGCAATCCAATCTTGACTAAGGTGTTGTAGGTGTCATCTAGAGATCATGGATTCGTTTCTTGGAAATAACCTTTTGCAAAATATTATACAAAGTAAAATTTGTCTACAATATATCCTTGTGGTGAGATATTTTTTTCGGATTTCCGCTTAATGGAATGTTTTGTACAAAGAGGTGTATAAATATGTTTTTTTATTTACAATATCACCAATAAAAGTGTTGGAGAATAGGACAATGATTCTTTCTCTATGTCTTTCATGTTTGGGACCATATCTATCTTTGTTGTTGTTATATCTTATCATGTACAATCGAATCCTTCATTGATGTTTATATTTGCAAAAATCCAACTTAATTGTTAAAAACAATTATTATGCCTTGCGCGGTTTTTCTACGACTATGAATGAAACCAAAAGGTTAGAAGAAATCTTGTGCAAAAGAAAAGCTTTTTCTTACCCATTCGTGGGCGTGGGTCTTTTCCCCGACATTTACGGATATCTAAATTCATATTCAATGTTTTGCATGTTAACATTTGAAAATCGATCTCCTATTAAATTCGGATGAACTTTTGAATTATAAAAAAATTCGATCTAAAACATAGAAATCTGCGATATTGAAATTCGAAGTTTGTGAAAATATAAACGTAATTTTATAATTTTTGAAAATCGAATTTACATCATGGCCATAGACCTTTACCATTTTCTCTTCCGAAAGATTATTAATGTGGTAATTTATACTAGGGTAGGGTTTGGACGATCAGATCCGTTACTTAAATACCTAATCAAACTGATTAAAAACCAAATAATTGTTGGGTAATGAATTTTCAAAAGATCGAAAAAATCGAATCGAAACCTTTTGTAAGTATGTATCATCGATTAATACGTAACATATGCTATATCTAAATAGAAAATTTTCTGTTTATATAATTTTCAACTAAAATTAAATCTTTTACATGTTTCTACAACAAATTATAAAATTTGGCTCATTTACTATTATAACATAATCGAGTCGAGCCTAATTTAGATTTAACTATTATTTGATTATAATTTTAGTTAGACACAACCAAATCGAATCAAACTGTAAACGAACCGATTAAAATCAATTACCGTTTGGTTATGAATTATCAAAATTCGAAATAATCGAAATAAATGTAACCAAATAAATCGTATTTTTGAACCCTAATTCATAGTTTAACCACATTTGAGTAATTGACAATGTTATTTCCGAGATTTTACAAATTGTTAAAAGAAAAGCCACAATCGCACCTAATACACGTTACTTTTTCCATATTTTCTCCCATGTAAGAGTTGATAAAAAAAATATTTAATGCAACTCCAAAGGTTAGTCAATCGTTACTAACCAATAGTTAAACATATTAAACTTAATAATTAGAGGATAATTAAGAGGTCTACCTCATCTTTAAGGATTGATTAATATTTATATCATCCAACTATTTTAAAAACCAATTTTCGTCGCTATAGCGATAAGATTTTTGTATTTTTTTTTTTATAAGAGAATTAAGGAGATATAGCGATAATAATAATAATGGTGAATGGACAAAGAGTATCCATCATACCGAAGAATATGTGAATGGTCAAACCATTCATGTGTTTTCTTTCTTTCTATAGATTCTATTTTTGGAAACTTTCCTTAAAAGTGTTAAATTTTAATCTAATTTCAAAATTATACATTGACATCCCATTTTCCAAAAATGTCATGACGAATTATTTAGATCTCTATGAAACCGAAATTTTGGACCGATGATGAAATAATATTTTAACTATATGGAACAAGAAAAAATTCAAATGAAAAGACATAAAGATCCAATTATAATAAAAGCAGGAGGGACAATGTTAAACAAAATCCAAAATAACATTAACCATGATTTGGACCCTCCCCCCATCTTCTAATCCAACATCTAAATCCTAAATGCTACTTAAGCTAATCAACCATATCACCAGATTACCCCTCAAAGTCACCACCTTTTTTCCCATTTTACCCTCCTCGATGCCGAACCCTACGCCATCTTTCCGCGTTTGCGATCGGCGTTTCAGACGTCGTTCCACGTTGCAAAAATGGGCAAGTGAGCCATTGACACAGCGGTTGCGGCTCCCGGGGATCTCAGCGTTTGCGTTGCCGTGGCCACCGGGAACCATGAAGACGCCGAGTTCACGAATTTTGCCGAGAGAACGTTCTTATCGAACGCTAAACCCAGATTCGAACCCGATTTATCCGGAGTACCCTCCCTCGAGTTGCTCAAACTCGACAGCGGATTTGACACATGTGCCCCTACCTTATCGCCGCACTCAACCCCCACAAAACCCTCCAACGCGGCCGGAAACGGAGGGGTATTTTGGTAATTCGACGCATTCTCAAGATGAACCGAGTTTGGGACTCCGGTTTGGACAGGAGCTTGGTTAGCATAACCGACCGGTTCGAGACGGTTACCGGAAGGCAAGTCCTTGTGGGATTTCCGGGCATTTTCTCCGGCGAGAAGTGTACTACTCGACATGATTTTGTCGACGTCGTATCTCGAGATATCGAAGTTCGTTACGGCGTTCGCTCCTCGGAACTTTATCGCGGCGACGTCGTAGGCCTCCGCAGCTTCCTCCTGTGTGCCTGCACACAAAAATATATATATATATTCAAAAAATATATCTCACCATTGTTACTATAATATAAAATAAATATCTTTAAAAAGATCGAATGTTGCAAAATTTAGCCTTTTTAATCATGCGTGATTCCTTTTTTTTTTTTCTCTTTTACTTTGCACTTTCTTTAGCTATTCAACTTGTGGAGACAGAGAAAGAGGAGCTTTGATGGGTGGAGGTACAATGACAAAGTGAGAAATCTCCACAACCCTTTTTTTTTTTATCAAAAGCATATACCAACATAAAGAAAAGAATATAGAAAAAAAAATAGAAACAAAATTTAGATTTTGGTTTTTGACCAAAAAAAAAAGATTTTGGATGGATGTTTAATAAAAGTTTCGATTTTTACGAACAGAAAAAAAAAATTAAAACTTTGAGCAAAGCAACACTCACTGAAAGTTCCAAGGTAAAGGTCTTTGTTCCCAGCCACCCTGCCTATCCTCGCTTGCCACCTTCCATGTTGATGATGCCTACCGATAAATATATAAAACAAAATAAAAAATAATCATAAATCAGTAATTCATAAACCCTAAAAATAAAAAAGATAACTTGGGGACCAAGAAAGAGACCTCGTGACTCCTCTGTACATGGAGGCTCCTCGGGAGAAGCCACTGCTCTTCCTCCTCAGATGGGCAACGTACTCTTGACGAGTCATCCCTTTCATCTCCTCGAGCTCCCCATTGTAATTCTCGAGCTTTGGTTATTTTGAAGAGATAAAAAAAAAAGTTTTTTGGTAATTATGTGAATTCTCTATAATCTCGAAGGAAAGAAAAAGTAAACTATAACAAAAAAAAAAAAACGTACAGGGAAATTGATGTGGGTAGAGGGTCCCCAGTACTTGAGAGCGGCGAGGTCGTAAGCTCGAGCAGCTTTCTCTTCCATGTCATACCCACCTGTGATGTATTATTATATAAAAAAAACATGAAATTCTTCATTTGGTTGAGCTACAAGAAACTATATTTAGAAAGAAAAAAAAAGATTGGAGTATAATATATATGTATACATATGTACACTTTGTACGTAAGAGAGTGTGTATAATGATTTGTACCTAGATAGACTGCAGCGAAACGTGAATTATTTTGATTGGAATGGCATCCAAGGAGAAGGCATGTGAATGGCATTGGGGGACATTTCAAAGACAAAAAAGTCAGACGAAGCAAAGGGTGTGAATGTATCGTATAGAGAATTTAATTTACGTTTTTTTTTCTGTGAAAAACAAAAATAAAAAAAAACATTAAAAAAAAACCTTGTCTCCCTTTCCTGGTCTGTCCTTCTTTCTTGCAACTGTTGTCCCACAGATGAGCTTCATATCTCCCAGTCCATCTATGCCTGTCCAAGAAGAATTTTGATTTCTTATTTCATTTTTGTTGAGAATGTGATGAAACTTTACGCGAGGACAAACCTTGTGACACCTCTATACTGTGAAGTTCTCTGTCCAAAGGTCTCGATGGATTTCCTGTGGACAGTTTGCTTCTGGGTGGTGACTTTTGGAGTAATCATGTTCTTCTTTGGATCTTCAACGGCGAAATATTCATTAGGTGATGAGATTTGCTGTCTTGGAGCATTGACACAACGGCTAGACTGTGACCCTGGGCTCATTGACAGCGTCAGCGCCTGCAAATCTCCACCGTTTCCGCGTCCTCCACCGTCTACGAAGCCAAACAGCATTTGGTTCTTCAGGCTTAGCATGTGATCGTTGATATCAGTCGTCTCGACATTTGACTGGAACATTCCATGGCAAGAGAGCGATCCTGATGTGTAATAATGCATTTGGTGTTTGGTATCTGAGCTCTGTTGCGTGTTGTTGTCGCTGTTGTGTTGGTAGTAGAAGCTGTCCAAGCTCAGAGGCATTGTTTCTCTCGTCGCACCTCCCAGAAAGTCCTCGAGTTTAGGCGACGAACTGGGAACCATGCCTTCACACACTGCACATAAAAGAACATATTTTTATCAAAAAGGTTAAGTTTTTTTTACTTTTCCGGGGAAAAAAGAAGAGAACCCATTTGAGAAAAACGTGGAATACGTACTGGGTTGTGATCTTGAGAGAGCTTCCATGATGCAGAGTGATCCATCGGATTTGAGAGGCATGACTGAGAGTGAAGGAGCGTGAAAGCCTCCGTTTTCTGCAACAATTCCGTAGCAGATTCCATGGCAGTTTAGGTCGTTTGGAGTTGCGGAAGAAGATGACGGAGAAGAGTAGAAACAATGTTCGGCAAGAGAAGCAGAACTTGTGGGAACTGGATGAGTGTTATGATGGTCACTGTACTGACTACGACGATGTTGCTGATGATGTTCATCGCTGTGATCATGATGATGACGATGTTCATGATGTTGTTCATGGTGTTGTTCATGGTGTTGTGGGTTTCCAGAAGCAGCGGCGGCAACCTCCATTGTCATGTGTGGAGACAGGGAAAACCCCAACCAGTTACTGTTGTCATCCGCAATCTTCATCTTCTCTCTCTCTCTCTCTAGTTCTAGTTCTTGTTTGTGTTAAACCCCTCTCTCTCTCTTGACCCAGAGGCAAATCTCAATCAATCATTGGGGGGAGAGATATGAGAGAGTAATCATGCCAAAGTCACTTCCTTTATATCTCCCCATATTTATACACATACATATAAATCTGAAAAAAAGATAAAAGGGAACTCTTCTCCGAGATTGAAAAAAAAATTACAATGGACCCATCATTCTTCTTCCTCCTCCTCCTCCTCTCCTCTCCCTCTCTCTCTCTCTCTCTCTCTCTTAAAACGAGCAGGGTTGGTCTGTTCAAGCTAAAACAAAGGGAATGAATTCTAAGAAGCAATGCTGGGGATCATCCCTGCATTCTATAGGGATCTGTGCATATACACATACTTATAATATATATAATATCTCCCCCTTTTCTTTCTCTCTCTTCTTTTTTTTCTTCTCATGTCCCTTTTTTTTAAAAAAATCTTTATCCAAACGCACCCTTAATTCCTATGGGGAGTGTTGTTTCTATTCTCTCCCAACACTCT